AATGGGGCTGATTTCATGCAGCTTTCAAAGTTTTGTTGCTGCTACAATTTTGCCAAGAGCCACGTTCTGTGAATTGACTTGCAGAAATCATCACGCTCCATGTAACTGATGTTTTTCTACCTGCAGGAAAGCAGTATGCATTTAGCATTACAAAGCCGTTTTTGCGGGATGCTTAGATTGGTTGCCGCATTATCTTGCCAATCAAGCCTTCTTTGGCAATGGAGCGGAACGTTCATGGTGGGAGCCAGTACAGCATTACTGCAAACGTGCTTTCATCACCATGACAGCGAACAGCAATAGCGAACTTGTGAAAGCAGCAGAAATTTCTTCTTAAAAGATGCGTATGTACTTAGGCAAACCATAGCTCTATGGGCAAACACAGGCCTCTTTGTTTACATGTCAGCCATTCCAATTAGGAGACAAAGTGAAGAATCTATTCACAAGCCCTGTTTTGAAGAAACAACAAGGAGGGCTAGTCTGAAAACAGGTTGAAGAATGAATTTGTACAAAAGCAGTAAATTGGTTGAGTGTTTGTCTTTGATACAGGTGCAGGGAAGATGGGCCCCGTTACCTATTTACTGCAACTGATGGCTAAATACTTTGTAATGCACATGTACCAAGCACTGGCATAGCCATGGGGGGCCTGGGGGATATGTGTCCCCCCAAAAAAAATTCCTGTTGCCCCCAAGGTCCCCCCAGGTGCCCCCCCCACTAAAAAAAAAACGGATGGATATTGAACAAGGCCAACAAAAACTTTCCCCCAAAAACCACACCACTGAAAGCTGGTGCCCCCCATAAGATGCTGGTGCCCCCTTGTGTCCCCCCACTAGTAAAATCCTAGCTACATATGCCACTGGTACAAAGGAGAACTCCACTGTTATAATGAACTGGAGTTTTATACTGTCAAGATGATCTTAACAAAGTGCACTTCAAAATGAAGTGCCCCTGTCAAGTCAATCTCAGACAGGGACAACAAATACGATTCAATTCAGATTCCAAAGATGATCGATTTGAACGGTTGACTTGTTATGACGAAGACTGAAATGCAGTCCTGAAGTGAGGGAAAGCAGTTTGACATGAAGATGCATGCACATGTAATTGGAAACGACTCGAGTGCTCTGAATTATAAATTGTGTGAACATCGAATCGCTGTTTTCAAGTGCATGTATCATGCTGGAAAACACCGGTTGGATCTGCTGTCAACAAAGATGAGTGGTTTGTTTTGAACAGCAGAGAAGTCGAATGCCATTCATCAAAAATAATGTAATGCCAATCAAGAGAAAAGTGTCAATCAAAGTTCTGAGATATATCAGCCAACAAGATACATGTAGTATACATATCATTAACAAAGAGTCGGTGCTTCTTTATACAAAGCCTGGATCAATCCCTATCGTTTACTTTGTGACTTAACCAATGAATGCTTTTCGTCTGAACTCACGGCAGAGCAGCATCTCAAAATTTGAAATTCCATTCCCCAAGCGAATGAATCGATCACACTTCAATCCACCCACTGCGAGGTCACACCATATAAAATGTATGTGAAAGAAATTTCTTTGAGCTGATAAATACATGTACATTTCTGAAGCCAAGGGATTTTTTTAGGATTTCCTCAGGTAATGTTCAAAGAGATTTTTAAAAGGATTTATTCAGGTGTGGTACATACAAAGAAAGAATGCTTTACTTTCATGCCGTGTAGAGAATGTTCATTCAGTGACACTCATGTTCTCTTCCACTCGGCTAAGCTTCACGGAATGGAAATTTATTCTATCTACATGGACCGGTATCACCTCTTGAAATTATTCTTACCATTGCACTTATTAACATTCATTTCTAGTATACTTCGGACTTCTTAGAAAAATGCTGGGACTTGCCTTAATGGGGTCGGAACCTAAAACGACCAACTTCATGTGTAAACATCTCAACCACTCCTTTGTTGTAACCGTGCATGCGCATATGTTCTTGTGGTGGTTGTTTGACTCTACTCAAGTTCTATGTCATGGTAATGTGGACAAAAGATAAGTTGGAAACTAGTGTGAGTAAAAAGCATCAGTGTTACTAACTGACCTTAGTCACTGTCAACCGGTGAAGAGGAGCACCTGAGATATTAGGGTTACACACCAAGGTCCATTTAATAAATTTCAGCTTTGATAACCAGTCAGTTCCATTCTAACTTTCAATTTTGCTGTGTGCAAGATACGAATCTGTTAAATTCTGGTGTGGAAGCATTTAGGTCACTGATAGTTGGCAAACTAGGCCCCAGCTGGTTGGGTTGAACAATGCATGTGTACATGTAGCCTGTACATGTACACGTACATACAGTTTAGGAAAAAAAGTAAAAAAATATTGGTGATTTGAGGCACTACGTGGGGAGCATAGGGATCAAATTAAATAATGCCATTTCTGAAAGCCACAGAGCCCAAATTAACCATGCCATTCAGGGAAATGGTTGGCACCAGCTGGCACCGGTTGGCTCTGGCTGGCTCCAGCTGGAACACACCCCAGGCCAGGTGCGTCAGAACTGTTGTCCACGCACCTTATGTACTTCTAGGAGTGGGCAAGACGAGAATGTAGTTGTTCCAATTGACACACTTCTTGACGCGGGCCACACCACTTCAGCGCCACTCCAGCATTACCTTCCTTGTGGGTCGAAATACTTCAAAGGAACCTGATCTTGCCACCTGCCCTGGGCAGTAAATTCATGCTTCTAAAGCTGTGAACTTTCTATGGGTTTTTGTGGTAGACACTCAGGTGAACATAATTAACTGTTGGCTCATGCTTACACATAAGAATAAAAGTCAAGAGCAAAGATCGTACATAGCTTCACCATGAATACGCGTAAAACGTTATCACATGGGCGCCATTCTGGTTGGACTACGACTGCGCAGTGCATGCTAATGCACAGGCGCCATGACAGGCACACACACACATGAACGTTCACACTCGAATGGTGCCCATGGTGATAACACCTTTATGGCCGAATTACCCATCTTGCGCCGCTACATAATGTTTGGTCAAGAGCCTGATTTACTGCAGGAATTTAAGCCTTTCTCAAATCCCATCAACCATCAGGATTGCTTAAATGATCTACAGGGTATAAATGTATGTGAGTGTGGAAGCAGACAAATCTAATGAGGCCATCTCTGCATGGGGCAATTCGAAATTTATTGGCTACGGCTGGAAATTACACGTACGTCTATGAGAGTCAATGGCTAGAAGCTGCAGCCACGTTCCATACGCATGTGTGTCACTCTTAGCCACGTGAAACTGATTTGAAGAGGCCCTCACTCGTAAACAACGTGACCCAACCTATTCGCCTTGAGCAGAAGCACCCCCTCATCGACCGAAAAGAGCCATGTTGGTCGGGAGAGTTCATTTTGCTGGTAGTGACATGACCGTAATGTGTGAATTTGATTGTCATTTCATTGTGAACCAGCTACAAGCAGTTCTGACCAAAGGAGCCTCTGCTGCAAGGAAAATTGTGCCCTCTCTTGGTCCAGCTCGGGGCTCATAGCAATATGAGTTGCAAGTTACCAGAGCAACTTTTGAGTGAAAGACCTTGAAGAAAATCTTGCACCATATAACTCAACGGGAAGCCTCGATATTCTTCACCAATACAATGGTTTTTGTACAGTACCAAATTTTCAGCTTAGCAAGTCCTCAAGCGAGAAGGCAGACACAATGTTTTGGCTTACTGCAAACAGTTTCTTGACTGAAGATGCACAGAAATCGTTTGCCCTTGTTTCCCACTGCAAAACCCTTTGACGGCTCTGTGAAATGCGACCCCATATATTAAATCGTGTCTGTACTGAAACCAGAAATTGGTTCCTCCCAGCGGTTTCAATTAATTTTGCAAGCTACATACGATCTGCCATATTCCTTTCACGACAGCAGACTACCGGTAATATGGTGGGAACTCAATATCATAGCTTATCCAACAGAGCCTGTCTCCAGAATCCTTACGGTACCACTGAACCAGTACTTCTCTCTTCAATTCCCTACAGCCTGGCAATGAATACCCATGACGAAGCAAATTAAAAACAAAAACATGAAACTGAGTAATGAATATTCATCCCCAGATCTCCAAACTGTCAATAATTCTGAGGTGAGTAAATAGCCTGTCCCAAACAACTGACTTTGGTCAGATGACCTGCGAGAAAAAATACACGGCAAAATGCGGTTGGCTGGAGGGAGCATATCCTGATCAAGCTCGGACAGTCTCAAGTTTCCATCCTCAGCCGGGCCTCCCAACGATTTCTCGGCGGCAGTAAAAAGATGCCTCTTGCTGTCGTTGGGTTACCCCGCTCTGCGGGCGGCCTGGCGCCTAGGTCCCAAGCGGACTGGCCTGAACAGATTTATTCAAGATCACTGCCTGTACACACACTGCAAGTCGGTAAATCACACGACCAGCTTTGATTGATTGGAAGCTTGGAGTTGTAATGCTGGAAATTCTGGAAGGCAGGACGGTTGTTGAGTTTATATCTTAAGCCAGATCAGCTTAATAAAAATTGTCAAGTTTGTCAACCAAGATGAAGCAGCTCACGGATAAGGATAAAGTTAAATATCTTGCACAGAAAACCTCTGGCAACCACTTCCTAAGACTACACAACATGTAAGACTTGACCACCAGTCCTTGTACTGATACCCCAAAATAAAAAGAAACTCTCCAAAACTCTGAGTCAGAACAACCAATGATTCCTACTATGTTTGATTTGTCATCTTCTATGACTTATCATACATTTCAGAGCTTTTAAAACTTTACAGTGACTCATCTCCAGTTTCCAAAGTCATTAGACACAGACTTTTTCCGCAATCAAAATTCAGCACATTCAAAAGATCTAAAAAATTAGCGGGCCTGATATTTCAATCCCAAATCATTCTTACTCACACGGAAAAAGAAGCTTTCCCAAGAAGTCTGCAACTTTTTCCAAGAGAAAGCCAAATATCCTTCCCACCATACTTTTCCCGATGCTCCCATAAACTGGACTGTGACAGTGATTTACCTGTTCCTGGTTTTCCCGTTGTGTTGTGAGCCTGGCTTCGATGCATCGCCGGGTCTCTAGGAAGGCTTGCCTCTGAGCGGCTTCTGTTGGATAGTGGGTGAAGACGCCAGCCAGGTTGGCACATACGAAGATAAACAAGTTGGCAAGTACCTGGTAAGAGGGGTGCAAAAAAAGAGTGCACCTTGAATTTGCAAATTCAAATCTAAAATTATTAGCTCCGGCTAGCAGCATCTCATACGCATACGCATAGACCATACATTAAGGAATAAATTCATTATGCGTATTCAGCATGCTCCGCATCAAACAAGCCATTGATCTCCATAATAAACGCGCGCCTATGTGGTGAGTACCCCCAAAAACATGCCCTCTTTTGTTCCGCCCTTGAGCGGATAATGTGCATCTTCTTCTATAATTCACAAAGAATGCATACACATACCGAAGTGTGACATTATTCCGACTGGAAAGTATTGTGTGAAATGTGAATGAATGGAGTGGAGTATATATTTCTTATAGTCTCATATCTCTTATCTCATATAGTCTCTATATCTCTATGTTTATATAGTCTCCTGAAGACGGACAGAGTACACT